ACACAATGTATGTGTCAATAAAAGATATACGCAATGTATGTGTCAAGAAAAGATATATACACAATGTATGTGTCAATAAAAGATATACGCAATGTATGTGTCAATAAAAGATATATACACAATGTATGTGTCAATAAAAGATATACACAATGTATGTGTCAATAAAAGATATATACACAATGTATGTGTCAATAAAAGATATATACGAAATGTATGTGTCAATAAAAGATATATACACAATGTATGTGTCAATGAAAGATATATACACAATATATGTGTCAATAAAAGATATATACACAATGCATTTGTCAATAAAAGATATATACACAATTTATGTGTCAATAAAAGATATATACACAATTTATGTGTCAATGAAAGATATATACACAATGTATGTGTCAATAAAAGATATATACACAATGTATGTGTCAATAAAAGATATATACACAATTTATGTGTCAATGAAAGATATATACACAATGTATGTGTCAATAAAAGATATATACGCAATGTATGTGTCAATAAAAGATATACACAATGTATGTGTCAATAAAAGATATATACACAATGTATGTGTCAATAAAAGATATACGCAATGTATGTGTCAATAAAAGATATATACACAATGCATTTGTCAATAAAAGATATATACACAATTTATGTGTCAATAAAAGATATATACACAATTTATGTGTCAATGAAAGATATATACACAATGTATGTGTCAATGAAAGATATATACACAATGTATGTGTCAATAAAAGATATATACACAATGCATTTGTCAATAAAAGATATATACACAATTTATGTGTCAATGAAAGATATATACACAATGTATGTGTCAATAAAAGATATATACACAATGTATGTGTCAATAAAAGATATAATATACACAATGTATGTGTCAATAAAAGATATACGCAATGTATGTGTCAAGAAAAGATATATACACAATGTATGTGTCAATAAAAGATATACACAATGTATGTGTCAATAAAAGATATATACACAATGTATGTGTCAATAAAAGATATACACAATGTATGTGTCAATAAAAGATATATACACAATGTATGTGTCAATAAAAGATATATACGAAATGTATGTGTCAATAAAAGATATATACACAATGTATGTGTCAATGAAAGATATATACACAATATATGTGTCAATAAAAGATATATACACAATGCATTTGTCAATAAAAGATATATACACAATTTATGTGTCAATAAAAGATATATACACAATTTATGTGTCAATGAAAGATATATACACAATGTATGTGTCAATAAAAGATATATACACAATGTATGTGTCAATAAAAGATATATACACAATTTATGTGTCAATGAAAGATATATACACAATGCATGTGTCAATAAAAGATATATACGCAATGTATGTGTCAATAAAAGATATACACAATGTATGTGTCAATAAAAGATATATACACAATGTATGTGTCAATAAAAGATATACGCAATGTATGTGTCAATAAAAGATATATACACAATGCATTTGTCAATAAAAGATATATACACAATTTATGTGTCAATAAAAGATGTATACACAATTTATGTGTCAATGAAAGATATATACACAATGTATGTGTCAATGAAAGATATATACACAATGTATGTGTCAATAAAAGATATATACACAATGCATTTGTCAATAAAAGATATATACACAATTTATGTGTCAATAAAAGATATATACTAATGTATGTGTCAATAAAAGATATATACACAATGCATTTGTCAATAAAGGATATATACACAATTTATGTGTCAATAAAAGATATATACACAATGTATGTGTCAATGAAAGATATATACACAATGTATGTGTCAATGAAAGATATATACACAATGTATGTGTCAATAAAAGATATATACACAATGTATGTGTCAATGAAAGATATATACACAATGTATGTGTCAATAAAAGATATATACACAATTTATGTGTCAATGAAATATATATACACAATGTATGTGTCAATAAAAGATATATACACAATGTATGTGTCAATAAAAGATATATACACAATGTATGTGTCAATAAAAGATATATACACAATGTATGTGTCAATAAAAGATATATACACAATGTATGTGTCAATAAAATATATATTCACAATGTATGTGTTAATAAAAGATATATACACAATGTATGTGTCAATAAAAGATATATCCACTGTAATTATGATACAATTCTAGTATTCCCATTATTTAACAGGTTGAACAAAACATAGAAAAGTATGTTTTTTCTACCAGTTGACAGTAACATGCAGATTAACTGTAATTAAATTAAACCAAATAGAAAATAGCAGTTGAGAATCGACTAGCTTTCAAATGACATTACCTTTGATTTCAGGTGTTTATAAGGTTATCATTTGGAAAAAAATGTTTGATTCATTGTGGCTCTGAAACTATAATCTGGCAGTTGATTTAATGATTGATTGTTTATTTAGGTTTAATGTGATGTGTTCCATATCCATAAAGTAATTCTAAAATTAACAGCATATTTTTATGTTTCAATATTGTTTGTAAAGTGTCACAGGTATCATTTCAATGTCTCCATAATAACCTCAACAAGTGGATTTGTAAAATGTCATGCATGGCACATGAATAAATGAGAGCAGTCAGATGAAAGTCATTAAACTGTCATTCCTTATTTAAATGATGTCACCAAAATGGCACAAAGGGAAACTGTGATCACTTACATGACAATATTTTAAATTTAATTAGAAATGAAACAATCAAAAGTAGGCAGAACTTTTGAAAAATGGCCATGTGTGCGATTTTGTTGAAACTTTATATGTGCCTACTTAGAAGTATATTACACTTTATGATGACAATTTGGCTATAGTGAGCAACCATTTCGAAAATAGTGGCCATTTTTGTATGTTATTACGATTTTTGCTAGATACTTCGTTTGTAAAACTGACTGTCAGCCATGGCTGTTAGATGGGATTTGCTACTCTTTGGCGTTGCTGTTGTCTAGTGTTACATGGATATATCAATACAATACAGAAACAGATAGATTGATGAAACTTGAAAAAGAACTGAATAGATAATGTCTCATTCATCATGGAGACAATCGCCTCATAATCACAGGGAATCGTGGAATTGCTACTTCAATCCTTGTAATTTATTACCTTGTTAAAAACAACCCCATACAATCACTGTGATCCTGTTTATACAACGGCCACAGCTTTTTCCACATAATTGCAGATTCGAATGATATAAAAGTACAGCGCACCTGACACACCGTATCAAGCCTTCCATCACAGAGAAATAGAGAGCTTCTGAAAGTCAGGGGAGATTATTGTGACGCAAAGTAATTAATTTCTCTCAGACCCTTTCACATTATAAATATTTATGGAAGGCTTTACATGTAATCAATTGGCCATTTGACGTTACCCTCTCGAGGTTACATGCTCTGCATATTCTAGGAATATTATGAGCCATGCATATTATAACTACAAAGCTCTTTTCTGACATCCATTGAATAATCTCCCAGGGATAAAATCGAGATATTGCGTTATAAATTCATCATCCATCTATTTCGCTATTATGTTTCAAATTCTGATTACATTTTTATCCCATGATTGAATGAAGGCCAATATATGAATATAGAGAGAAGTAATCCATTCATGTGTTAATAATTCAAGGACAATATGAGTCTCATCAAGTGTCTGATGCAAACTAAAGCTTAAGTGTTGATTAGTGCAGGCAGTAACTCAAGTGTTCATTAGTATAGACAATAACCAGTTTTCTTTAATGAGAAAAATTACTCAGGTGTTCTTTAATAAATTGAGTGTTTTTCAATGCAGACAATAACTGCAGTGCCATTTAATGCAGGCAATAACTCAGACAGTAACTTGAGTGTTCATTAGTGCAGACAATAACTTAAGTGTTCTTTAATGCAGACAATAACTCCAAGGTTTTTTAATGCAGACAACAACTAAAGTGTTTTTTAATTCAGACCATAACTCAAAAGTTTTTAAATGTATACAATAACTCAAAAGTTAATTCAGATGATAACTTAATTGTTCATTAGTGCAGACAAAAACTCAAATGTTATTTGATGCAGATAATGACTCAAGTGTCTTTAAGTGCAGACATTAACTCAAGTATTCATTAGTGAAGACAATAACTGAAGTGTTCATTAGTGCAGATCATAAATCAAGTGTCCTTTAATGTGGATAATAATCCAAGTGTTCTTTAATGCAGACAATAACTCAAGTGTTTTTTAATTGTCTTATGTGTCTTATGCATTATGTGTGCAGATTTCGTTCTTGAGAGTTAATTTTCAAAATGGCAGAAAACTTGGCAGACAACTCTAAAATGTATTATTCATATTAGGTCATATTTTGCAACCATGACTGGAAATTGTGATATATTTATTTTAACATAATGATGATCTGTTCAGTGAGGGGTGTTACATTTTAGTGTTATTACTTTTTTGGAAATATAAATGATGTGATTTCCATGAATGGTTTTATTATGTCACCATGGTAACTTTAAAATACTTGTCAGTGTTTGATATTTTTCTATATAAGTTATGCGTTATTTGATATTGTTACTTACATTTTAAAATATAACTTGTAAAGAGTGGAAAAATGTAGAAAAATGTTAGTGAAGTCAGCATAATATCTGTCGCTATGGTTACAGAAATATCTGTCAATCAGGATATTCAATAGATCAACCATGTAACACATTTCCATCAAAAATATGGTTTGTCATGGCAACAAATTATTATCAAATCTGTGTTGTCTGCAACCAAGTTGTGACATTTTGTTATGTTAGTGGTTTCTATTTGTGTTATTTGCATCAGGTGCAACCAGTGTGTTGTCACAATTAGGTAGCCATGGGAACATCAATATATAAATCTGAATGTATTCTCAAAAAATCCAAATATGAGCATGACTATTTATTTGATCTATTTAATGAATCTGCTAATGACATTTTTACAATTGATTTCAGATAGTTGCTGTTATATTTTCTATAACGGGGGTTATAATGATGGCGTATGTTGATGGATTTGGCAGCCCATCAATGTGGGGGGTCATAATTGCCGTTGGCGCGGCAACAGGCTCAGCTGTATATAAGGTAACAATAATGGATTTTAAAACTTACCTGCACAATGCTCTTACACTAAATATAGACTTTAATTCAAGTGATCTTATTGATTCGATACTAGTAGTAAAATATTATTGTGTGTATTTGTTTCTTGTTTTTATTTTGTTATCCAGATTTAGATGAACTGATTACCTCACAAAAGTATTTTAACTTGTATGCAACATCCAAATTGTAATCTTTTTCTTCAAAGTATTTATTTTGCTGAAAATTATAACTTTCTGCTTGCTATGTTATCAGGAAAAAGTCTCTTGATGTATCATGTGCTTGTGAGTTGTCACATTGATTTCATTATCACAGATATGCAATGACATAATAAATTAATAGGTATATACAGAACTGGAATGTCAGAGATTTCATTGAGGGAAGCCTGTAATATAATTCTCATCACCCATTACATGTTTATTTTTAGCTTTCTAATCAAGTTCGTCAATCATATCTCCAAATGACCTTGACCTCGTCAACTCCTAAAACCGGATATCTTGCTGTATTGAGTCACAATGACCTTGACACTGCAGATTTCCATGATTATGAAGTAGTATTAACAAAATAAATCCAGGGAATATAATTTAATGCTTATTAATCAGAAGATGATGTCTGTTCAAGCATAGTTAGGAAATTAGCATCGTAATTGTAAAAGGTAGAGCAGCTAATGAGACTATTTATTCTTTTATGTTGAAATCTGAGTGGTCGAGGAACTACTGTGCTTACCTGCATGTTTCAACTATTTAACAGAGTTGTTGCATGTTCATGGCTTATTAATCACAGGGAAACCCTCTCACGGGAAGTGCATTAATTGTCAAGTATTAAGGGGGGTAACCATTGGCTGACAGGCATATGAGCAATAAAACTGGAACCCTGGATTGGATAGAACCTAGAGACCAGGATCTGTATATCGAATATACATATATCAATTGAACATTTACGTCCAATTGTTTCATGTTTTGCCTATTTTGGCATCACTTCCCTTTGAATGTTAAAAGGCATTATGTTTATGCTGTTCATGAAATTGTTGTATAATCATACATTTGCTCACAATTATACAATGGTCAGATGGTTCTAAACTTCATAGTCTTGCATTTGAAGCTACAATGGAAAATAATAAAGACATACACACTGTATTGGTATAAAATAAAATGTTTTGACATTACTATGTGTAAAATGTAAACAAACAGTAAGATGGTTTTACATATCAACTGAAAAGTAAGCTTGTTACCTTTATGTCTTCTATATACCTTTATGTGCTTTTATATACCTTTATGTGCTTCTATATACCTTTATGTGCTTTTATATACCTTTATGTGCTTCTATATACCTTTATGTGCTTCTATATACCTTTATGTGCTTCTATATACAGGGTGGTCAAAAAAATGGAAACCCTTACACAATTTTCCTCATATATTTGTCATTTCAAGAAATAACTCCCTGATATTTTGCACATTTGTACATCATTCAATTTCCTACCAGCATACTATATTTCATGACCAACAGATTGATAGTCACAATGTTACAGCACTTTACAGATCATGCCCTAGTGGCCACTATTGCGCTGTCGGGCCACATGCACTCGTCGTCCAAAAAGTCCTGACCTATGGGGATATGGCAAGGAAAAAGTGTATGAGAATGACCTCAGGACAATCACAAACCTCAAAAGTGAGATCATCCGTTTCATTCAGGTCATAACTTCTGAGGAATGCATTCAGCCCATTGACAACTGTGCAGGTTTGCCTACAGCACGATGATGGCCAAACTTGAAGCATGTTATTCAAAGTGCTGTAAAATTGTGACTATCAGTCTGATGGTCATGAAATTTGGTAGGGTGGTAGGAAATTGAATGATGTACAAATGCGTGAAATATCAGGGAGTAATGCTATAAAATGACAAAGATATTAGGAAAATGACCACCCTGTACATTTATGTGCTTCTATATACCTTTATGTGCTTCTATGCACCTTTATGTGCTTCTATATACCTTTATGTGCTTCTATGTACCTTTATGTGCTTCTATATACTTTTATGTGTTTCTATATACCTTTATGTGCTTCTATGTACCCTTATGTGCTTCTATATACCTTTATGTGCTTCTATATACCTTTATGTGCTTCTATATACCTTTATGTCTTCTATATACCTTCATGTGCTTCTATATACCTTTACATATTTTATATACCTTTATGTCTTCTATGTTCCTATATATGTGCTTCTATATACCTTTATGTGCTTCTGTATACCTTTATGTGCTTCTATATACCTTTATGTGCTTCTGTATACCTTTATGTGCTTCTATATACCTTTATGTGCTTTTATATACCTTTACGTATTTTATATACCTTTATGTCTTCTATGTACCTATATATGTGCTTCTATATACCTTTATGTGCTTCTGTATACCTTCATGTCTTCTATATACCTTTATGTGCTTCTATGCTTGCAGGTGCTATTCAAGAAGATTTTAGGGGAAGTCACGTATTGCCAAGTGTCCATATTTTTTACATTTCTGGGTGAGTATGCAAACAATTGTTGAGATTTATACTTAATATTGCTGAACAGAAAGGATATTGATTGAATCCTGGGGGCAGATATGATATTTTCCTAGGGGAGTAAGATAAAGATTATATCCTTTTGTTCATGAAGATTATTGGAGTCAGTTGGACTTTAATTTAAAGTAAAATGTTATTTAAATTTTGATTTATTCAAACCCCAAATTCCAGCACATCTTGTTGTACTGTACATGTATGAATAATTGCATTTCAGGTCTGTGTAACATTGTGATTATGTGGCCAATTCTGCTAGCTGTCTATTATTCAAATGGTGAGCCCATGGACTGGAACAACATGCCTTGGGGCTACCTGTCCGGCTCTGCAGCTCTTGCCTTGTGTAAGTACAATTTGCACTAACAGTGACAGAATCTGCGTCTTATATGTGTGTAATGGTTTTGCAGTTCAGGGGTGTAGGGATCTACAAATGTGCGAGGCAAAATCAAATATTGAAATATTGAAATGAAAAAAGATGATGCTAATTTTATGCTTTGGTATTTTGTCAATTATAACCAGTTTTATCATATTCATCCAATGAGGATTGCTAAATTAAAGCCAATTTACCCCATCTAGGCATACATCATGAATTTAATGTTTCCATTTATATTTGCAGTGTTTAATCTGGTAGTAAGCTTTGGTATTGGCATTACACATGAAGCATTCATACAACTGGGCCTTGCCCTGGCAGTACCATTCTGTGTTGGTGAGTAGATATAAGCTTTGGGATTGGTATTACACATGAAGCATTCATACAACTGGGCCTTGCCCTGGCAGTACCATTCTGTGTAGGTGAGTAGATATAAGCTTTGGCATTGGTATTACACATGAAGCATTCATACAACTAGGCCTTGCCCTGGCAGTACCATTCTGTGTTGGTGAGTAGATAGATATCCAACAGTATATCATTAGGGTTCAAAACTCAAGGCTCCCAGATTGCCAATGGCAATCACTTTTGGACAATGGCAATCATTTTTGGACAATGAACTGAATGCCAATGTTAAATTATGGCAATCATATTTTCATCCCTAGTCCTGAACTCTGAATATCATACAGGGTAGGGGTCTATTAGGGTTACTTCACTCTCCAAGCAGAGTGCATGTAAAATTAGACAAATTAATTAGACAGTTCTGTAAATTGTCATGAGTTTATACCAAAAAGAATCATGATTTACAGGGTGTCCATAAATTCTCTTTTCAATTACAATACAAAGTCTATTATGTAAAGCGTAATTAAAGACACCCTGTATACGAGATAGTAAGGATTATATAAGAAGCAAATCTTCAATGTATCCTGTTGCTTGACATTTATAGAAACCTTTGAGTTTCTACAAATTCTATGCATCCTATTGCTCTATTGTCTCTACTGTCTCTAAAAATGTCTTATTTTATTTCAGTTGTTGACTTAGTTTGGAGAAATATTCAGTTTGACGGCATGAAAATTGCGGCAATAGTACTTATATGTCTCGGGTTCCTCATAAACATGCTCCCAGAGAAATGGCACGTGAGAGTGCTGAAGTTTATACACTGGAAACAGGAACATCACGATGAACAAGTCGTTACATTTCATACGCCAAGGTCACTTTTACGTGCAACAGCACATTGATTAGACTGATACATATTCCTGGTGTTTCAGTCGCAGGAAATGATGGCAGTGTTTTGCCAAAATCATGTGGATTTATGTGAAAATATAAGCAGTCGTGGATTTCCTATATTGTGCCAGTGAAATAGCCTATGAGGTATATATTAGCCATTTACCAAATAGCCTATGAGGTGAAATAGTCTACGACGGTTTACTGATGACTATGATGACGTCTGTGGATTCTGTATTAGATACACATGTCAATTGCAGTAAGTGATAGCTCTGCTTTGCTGAATTAGCCTGAGCGCAAAGTTTAGTTAACTCTGAAAAGACATATTCGGAAATATGATCGTGAAATGAGGAGTTGATTTTATTTCACCTGTCTGTTAAGCAGCTTATTAGGTTAACATTGACTGTAATGACAAGCTCCTTTGTTTATGAACAGAAATATGGGATGTTGTTGTGAAGTTTTGCAAAATAGTCATGGGTCAATTAATTAATCCAGTGAGGGTGAGTGCTATGGAGTATGTTACAGCCATCCTTGTCCGTCATGGCCATCCAAGCATGTTCCACTTTTGTATAGCTATATGTACAGAAGCAGTGAAGCCTGAGTGTGAAGGATGGCAGTCATAGCTACTCCAATCACAGTCAGACCATTTTTAATAAATAATATAACACATAATTGAACTGCTTAATTAGGACAGAGTTATTGATTCAATCAGAGAAGTGAAAAGATGGTTGAACCAACCTGTCGATCCATTTTTAGTGACTATTGAATAAGAGCAAGACATTTTAATAATGCTTATTGAAAGCCCATTAATGTTTCATTAATCACTACTAACATATATTAAAGTGGCTTCTGATGCTAAAATAACGAGCTTTTGTGAAAATGTCAAAGCTTTAACAAATTAACGTTACCTTGTTCTCTGTTTGAACTCTTCAAACATAACTCAGATTTCATCTAAAATTCTCATTCTCAATTTGCTTATTTTTGCAGCAAAAAATTGAGCATGTATTTATGAAATGGAATAAATGAGAAAATACATGTTCATGTACTGCACAATAAATGTACTTAATACATGTAAGTACGTGAGTTATTCTAGATTAGTACTTATTATATATATAAAAGGAGGTGCCATTGTCGGTGGAATGAAACCACATATAACAGTATAGTGTGAGCATACATAAAGAAAATAGATTGACTTAAAATGTCTAGATAATATAATTTATTTTAACATTGACTAAGTCATTCATGCTATAATCAAAGATTTAGTATTAAGTTATACATGTACATAATGATGTAATGATATGCAGTTAAAAATCTGTTGGATGTATAAATAATATCCAAGTTCGTTTTTTAAAACAGTGGATAAAATATTTGTAATTGTATATTTTTCAAGTGGCAGATAGTTTTGTAGACTTAATCATGCAAATGTAGTATTTACACGTCGGAAACAATTTGATAAATGGGGCACTCTTGGAATGGATATACGTAACAGCAGTTTATTGCAGTTCAGTGTTCTCTGTTCACTATTATTAGACATTATTTCATCCATCAGTATCATAAATACACTCCCCTCCTTAAGTTTGGCAAATTGAAGCAAAACTTAAGGTGGGGAATAAGAAAGCAATTACCTGTAATAAGAAAGCAATTGTTGAGAATGTAACAATTTTAATTGGATTTTAGGAAAATTTATTTTTGAAGTTTTCATAGAGTATGTTTTAAATCAAATAATGCCCGGTAAAAGGAATGGTGTTCCTTTAAGTATTTATAGTTACAGCCATCCATTGAAGATTTCGGCCATTCTTGGCAGAGTCATGGCCAATTCTTAAATGGGGCTCTGAATGCTTTCATGCACTTACGATAACAGAAACACATTTTATAATATTTGGGCATAATGTTTTGAGTCCTGATATTACGATGATAAGCCATTCTTGTTGCCCCACATGAGAACATTTGCTATTGTTGCTCGATACTGTATAAGTGGTATTTAATCAGAGTGGTTAATTTGCTGAATGGTCAAATTTTATCATTTTCCTCATTTTAATTTTCCTAATTACAAAAAACTTCTCATTGGATAAATGACGCAAATTACTAGTATTATATGTACTATATGAAGATAATATTTCCAACATTTAATTTTCCAAACCTAGCAAAAAATAGACAATAAGCAAATTAAACGATTCGAGGCAAAATTACCACTTATACAGTGTACTAAACGACACTATCTAGAGCCCATTATACTTTATCTTGCTCATGGTATCATTAGAAAGGAATGGTGGAAATGATACCATGAGTGAAGTAAGACAGGATTGGATAGTACGCATATATGTTGAAGACATGTAAATTGTATTGCTGAACAGAACATAAATATATTTGTTAAATAAAACACCAGTGTATATTATGTTCAATTTGATATCATATATTTTATTATATTACACTAGAAACAGTATTGCACATCCACATCTTACATTGTAAACATCATCCAAACATAATCTGATCGCAGACAAACTGTCAGAAACTGCCAAAATGTCAGAATATTTACACGATCTTCCATAATTGGCACTAATCACATACAATCAACCTTGAGGTCATTTAACAGTCTTTGAGATATTGTTGCAGTTAATGCAATACTTGCTACAGTCACTTCCTGTCGCGACTGCTTGTCCTCATCTTGCATTATACAGCGCCATCTATTCAGCAGGGTCAGTACCATGAGTCCAGGTGGGTTTTCTCTTGCCAAGGAAAGCGGCAAGTCCTTCCTGGCCATCTTTCAGTCCTAGATTCTCCACCATCACTCGTTCAGTTTTACTGAAACAGTACATTTGAGATATTATAAACAGGACTTTTGATGAGACAGTTAAATTTTGCTCAGTTATCAAATCAGACCATATCCTTCCATAATAGACGAGTATAGATGTGAGTAGAAATAATCTTGATTTACGTCATTAAATATTCAAATTGATGTCATATTTGAAATCTACATGTAAAAGTACATCAAGAAATATTGTTTTGAAAATTGTTTATCAACTGTAAAAATATAATTTTTTTTGAAAATGTGACTTCTAGTTCGGGTTGATTCCCCATAGACCCCATGTTACAAAATCACAAAAAGTGAAATATCTTTTCTTGTATTGGACAGATTACATTTTCTTTTGCTGGACATATTTTAATTTGCATAAGATTGCATTAGATACATAAGGGTTATATGAAAATTGAACCACTAAAACAGATCCAATTTAAGTTAAATGGAACTTTCCACTATACCCGCCATGGTATCTGACCCAAATGAGCCACCTGGTGGTAAACTTAATCACATCTGCGTTAATGCAAATTTCATTTTAGGATCCCATTTAACTATTTAGATCATGACCTCATATGGTACAAAAAGTAAACCTCCAGAAATCCTTTTGCATTTCCACTTATCAATTACCCCAGTTAACATGAAAACTCACACATATGCTGAATTCCTATCCCTGGCTATTTGGTCATAAAAGGTAGTTTTCCCTAATGCTGTCACTGAATGACTGGTCTCACATATCCGGTCTGTCAGCCTACGTGTCTGCAAATACATAAAATAACAGCATCCATGTAAGTATATACACTAAATTGTAAAGCTCAGATAATGTATACAAGGTCCATGAGAGAGTGCTGTACATAATTTTCACAAATAACTATGCAGCTATACATGTATTTCATTAATGATAATTTAAATTTCCCTTTTTATGTCAGAAACCACAATAGCTCTGGTCGTGTGGGAACTGTGACTGACAGTCCTGCCATCTTTAAATAATGGTAAAAGTTGTCTCAATTCAATTCATGAGTTTTCTCCTGAAATACATGTACAGTAAATATGTGTACTGTATTAAACACTTTATTTTAAATTACAGGATCCTACCTCAGTTTCAAGCTCCTCCTCAGGCACAACCCTATTGACAAGACCATGCTGCAAGGCATCTGAAAGTTAATAATATTCTGTCATTACAACATTCATCAAATCTTACATCTGCCATATAATTGGGTAGTTTTTTCAGCCAGTTGTTTTGATTATGGCGATGGCTTTGCAAATTGATGTTGACCCTTTGAAACCCCTATGGTCTTTGAGACTGGATTTTGTCTATCCAACATCATTTGAGACTGAATGCTCTATCATGTATGAGTACTTGTATCTACAACTATTTTTGAGGTTGTGAGTATTGGCTATCAATTTCTAATTTTTTCTTCAACATGTATTATAATGACTTCAGTATGAATGAAATGTCCCCTGGTCTTCTGGTCTTGGATTGTGGTATTGGTCCTTGAATGGTGGGGGAAAGGGGGTATTAGACATTGCTCCTTCACATTAGATCACAGTTTTGGGATATATGGTGTTTGTTTTTCTTATTTCTGGTGTATACCTATATATAGAGTTTGCTTTTTCTTGTTAGTTTGCTTTACAACTTTTGGTGCTCTCCCTTTAACACTTGTGCATAAATATATATATAAAATTAGCATGACATATCAGTTATAAAATGTTCTTCATGTTTCCTATAGCCTCACCTACCTTTAGCATCAATAGGGAACCCAGTGAAGAGCATTTCCATAGCAACCTTGCGGGGCACAGCTCGGGCCAGAGCAACAGCTGGGGTGGAGCAGAATAGGCCAATACTCACTCTACAATCAAAGATATTTCATAATGGATCAAATACCCAAGAGAAATAATGTAAACAGGTTTTTCTGTGTTTTGTTTATTTCAAATATTCAATCACAATCTTCATGTGAAATTTGAACTGCATTAAACTGCATTTCTGCAAAAGATTGGAACAGACATTAGCCAAGTTTCAAATGAAAACCCTGAATTAATAATAATTTTGTACACTTACAGTGATATAAAAATAATTTTTCAAGATCAATGGGCATTATCAGATCAGTCAATCATATAAATGGCTCTTTTACAGATAAAAAATGTAAGACCAATGAAAACTTACCCTGGAGTGGCAAACTTTGATTTGTCTGAAACAACAGCCATATCACAGCTGGCAACCAGCTGACAGCCTGCAGCAGTTGCAAGTCCTAGAAATCAAAGGAGCAGATTATTGATGAGGTGTGTCATGATAGTGCAAAAATAGCACAAATATGTGTTTTTCTACTATAGCTATTAGATACCTTGTGTAGCACTGGGTCAGGGATTAACTTCAATTACATGTTCTTTGAACGTGACATGATATTAATAATAAAAATCATCAACATCAAAATGGCATTTGATGATAATGCAAAAATGATGAGATTCATTTAGGATTCAAATGGATGTTGATGTCATTAATGAATAAAAGACCTGCATTGTGATATCCCTTGCATGAAAGAACCTAAAGAGATGAAGAGGGCCTCTGATAAAACTGAATGAGGGTTTGGTTATTCAGGTTTAGGCTCAGGTTTATAGACAGATCTCCCTTATTGAGAAACAAAATGGACATGATATTCAAAAGCATGACACGATATTCAAAAACATGACAGGATATTCAAAAGCATGACATGATATTCAAAAGCATGACATGATATTCAAAAACATGACATGATATTCAAAAATATCAACTGGAAATGATGGTTGATGCACAAAAGTTTCATTTTTGACTAAAAAATTAATAATGGCCAAAAGGTGTGATGCAGTTACCATTCACCTGTGCACTTACCATTCACCCGTGCACTTACCATTCACCTGTGCACTTACCATTCACCTTTGCATTTACCATTCACCTGTGCACTTACCATTCACCTTTGCACTTACCATTCACCTTTGCACTTACCATTCACCTGTGCTATCACCGGAACAGGGACATCTTGGACAAGTTTCATGACTTCTGAGCAGCGACTGAACACTTTGGTGTGATATTCTCTGCCCTCTTTAGTTGTCTGAAAGAATAAACAAGGGGATGACAGAATTAATTTGACTACTAAAGACTATTCTTTAAAGCAACAGATACTCAAAAGTAAAAACAGGTGCCGTAATAAATTGAAAATGGCTATTTTGAAAAATCAACAGAGCATTTTTATCTAAAGCAAATGAATAAAACACCATATTTATAATGAGCAACAAGTACATAAATCAGGTGTATGTATGTATGTCAATCAGAAATATTCCCAAGATGCCTCATTCCCCCATTCCAATGAAGAAGTGTATTGAAATCGTCAAAATTTTGACATTTGCATAATTTTCAAAATTATAATTAACACAATCAGATTTTCTATTAGGTTAAAACTTACAAAAGTAACAACTGAATGTCGCACCCAATTAATTAGATTCTATCAAAGTTTCAGTCTTACCAGTTCTTTAAGGTCATGACCTGATGAGAAGACAGGACCATCATGAGCTATAACTATAACTCTGGTGCCTTCTTTGTCAATGCCAACTAAAATATCATCTCTTAAACTCTCCAACATTGCCAGTGACAAGGCATTCCTGAAATTGAAATTATTGGTTAAAGTTATTGGCAATATAAATAAGTTGCTATAGTAACAATTTACACTCTAACCCATGGCAACTAAGAGTGAAATGATCCTTGCCAGTGACAAGGCATTCCTGAAATTTGAATATTCAGTTCAAGCTATGGGCAGTATAAATAAGTTGCTATCACAATGTATCTATCATGCAAAGTGTACACTTTACACTTTACACATGACAACTAATAAAGGTGAATTGATCCAATCATTTACATCCATCCATTTGTCTGATTTTTAAAAAATCTGAGTTATCTAAGCATAAAAAAGATTCTGGGTCTTATCCAGGCTCAAAAATCTGTTTTTTCATATTTGTGGTTTGCTTTTTTTACTCAAATAGTGATTTGTAAATAATTTGACTTTTTTTAGACAAAATCTGCATGCTCTGGGAAAAAGGGAGAACTTTGGAAATGGGGATGGCAGGTTGAATAGGTACTGTTGATATCTATAAAATGAATATGGATATGACTTGATATGAATAGCAGTTTTAATTTGAGCGGCCAATGTTGACAGATAGACCAACAGATGGACAGATACCTAGTCAATCCCATAGGCTCATTGCTTCATGAGCCAATAATAGCTTTTAACGAATGGGAAACAGATTTCAAACCATTCCTTTTCAAAATGAACTATATGTTCTCACAGCCAACCATGCCGTGTGATTGAACACTAGATATCCGAAAAGCTTTCGATTCTGTATGGATAGATGGCCTACTTTTTAAACTTCACAACTGTGGTATTGGCGGTAAGATATGGAAAATTTTGTATATGCTATATAAGCGGTATAGTTGCTCGGTTTTAGTAGGCGGAAAATGCTCTGACTTATTTCCAATATTACAGGGTGTCCATCAAGGCGGTGTCCTGTCCATGCTATTTTACCAACTTTATATGGCAGATATAATTGACTCCATGATTAAGCTAAACAAGGGATCAACCATAGGTTCGTTAAGTTGCGTTAGTCCTTCATATGCCGATGACATGTGCATCTTGTCGAATTCCTTTGAAAACATGCAAGTGCTACTTGATCTACTCCATGCTCATAGTAATCAGTGGAGATATGAAGTTCATCCCGATAAGTGTTCGTTTCTCGTTTTTAATAGTAAAATAGAGCTAGGTGCAACTCAGAAACTTAATATCGGAGGTAAATCAATTGCAAAATCTGACTATGCTAAGCATGTCGGAATTCCAATTTCAACAAATAACGATATTTCTGATTATGTACAGGATAAATGTAAGAAGGGCAAATCGCAGTACAATGCTCTGCTCGGTATAGGTAGTGGCTGCGGAGGCCTAATCCCAACATCTGCATGTCAAATATACAAAACGTACTCCATACCTACAATGACATACGGTGCCCATATTATCAACTATCAACAGAATGATATAGTTGTTCTAGAAAAGACACAACGAGAAATAGGACGGAGAATTCAATCTCTGCCTCCCTCAGCTAGTATTCCCATTTCAACTTTGCCCCTGGGCCTAATGGACGTTGAATTTTATATTGACTTTTTAAGAATGATGTTTCTCTGGAGTTTATTGCAACTCCCGAGCGCAAATATATATAAATGTCTTTTCACAATGAGATTTGTAAAAATGCTGCATGTTAACAATGAATGTAATACCTTCTCTCCAATAAAATGCATGTTACTGACATCAAAAAGGTACGATTTATATGACCATGTTCTAAATATGGTAGACTGTAAAATGTTCATCCCCAAAAATACGTGGAAGAATATTGTGTATAGACAAATCGCAGCCGTTCAGATGCAAAGGACATTTTTCCAATCGCTAATGTACAAGGGCCTAAACTATTTTAGAATGGGTAACTTTGAAATTCTGAGGCCAATTATATGGTGGAGAGTTGCAAGACTGTTCCCTTTTGCTTTAAGTAGTTGTAAAATAATGGTGAAACTGCTAGCAGATGAACATGCGCTTAGATCAAAATATAGAGGTTCCGAAGACAAATCAGTTATATGCTCAATGTGCAGCACTTATGAAAAAGAAGACGTAGATCATTTCTTACTTAAATGCCCAGCAAATATATATATTATTTATAGAGAACAACTTAGCAATCATTGCTGCGAATGGGGTATCCAAATGAACACTAAAAACATTCTTGGCATAGGAATTGAAGAGTTGCACTGTACAAACGAACAACTACTTGTATTTTTAAAAGATATGGCATATATAGTTATGCAACAATATTTGTGTCGTCAACGGTACTTGACAAGTTTACAATCTTAATGTAACTTTATCAGCGTGAAAGGGTGGCCCTCAAGGGAGGAAAATGGGCTGACCAGGGGGTAATATGCAATAAGTATTTATTCTGAGTGTACCGACCTTGGGGAAGGTACAATAATAAGCAATGCTTTATGTTTGTTTTTTCTTGATTGGTAGTTGCAACGTCAACGCGGCAGCCTGACGTATTTGCAACAAACGATTATATCTCTTAAGCAGCTATAAATACATTTTAGTTTTACTCGCATATTTGTATTTATATTTATGTACACTTACTATACACACTAATTTAGAATTGCACCATAGGGCAACACCACCTTTCTTCAATTTACAAAAAATTGTATATTTCTTTTACTAGCTTACAAGATATTGAAAGCATCTCATACTTTCATACAGTACTGCAGTACCGACCTTGGGGAAGGTATGATGATATGCTATGTCTTCCTTTTTATCTTTATAGAAAATGCAGATCCATAATGTTATTATTTATTAATCTCAAGAGTGTTAGGTAACAGGTCTATCTAGGCCTACGGCGTGCGTCTACGCGGTAGCTAGGCGTCGTCGTCAGTATAAAAAACAACAACAAAACAATGAATGTTTGTAAAATATAGTCATTTTTTTATAATTGCGTTACAATTAGGTGCTAGGCCAATTTTGGTCGGCGACGTGCGTCTACGCGGTAGCTAGGCGTCGTCGTCAGTCAAAAACAGCAATATTGTTTGTTTGTAAATAGTGATTATTTTCAATTTAACATTTACATAATTTGTATACATGTATCTCCTTTATATAAAGGGCAATAAATATATACATACATACACTACAACCCTAATGAACAATGCATATAAGACCTCCAACTTCCTTTCTTTTTTTACAGAAATTAATTATTTAGAAATGTAACTCACCTTTTTCTGGCATTGTTCAACAGAATTCTTCTCACTCCATTCTCATCCGAGACAAGGGTAAGCTTAGTGCCGGATGCTTGTGAAGAAAGTCGAGCTGCACTCTTTACATGTTGGCAAACCTGAAATCATTGTTATATAATGCTGGATGAACTTGTGCTTTATATACAAGTGACATGCATACTTTCTAAAATGAACATATTGCTACTTGATGTAGACAATGCTACATTGCTGACTGATGTTGTTTTTGTTTGAACCCCCCCCCCTTGAATTTTTAAAATACTGAACTTCCTTGGAAATACTGGCTACAGGCCTGACAATGGGGAAGTACAATACATGACATAGGTTCATTGTTTAATGAAGATCCGACATAAGAAATAAGTATGACGTAGTAGTTTGTAGTTTTAGTGGTTAAGGCATTGGTCTGAAAAGCAGGAAATCTGGCTTCAGGCTGAAAAAGTAGAGGTCTTGGGTTCAGACCCAGGTCACAGCACTTCTTGTGATTTGTCTTTGACCTATGACTGCTGACCTATACCGGCGATTAGTAGAGTGCTGCTAACTCGATATAGGCTGGCGCTGGCTAGAATTGTCTATGGTTCTAGCCAGGATAAAGATACCAGTTCTTCAACTCGACAATGGGAGGAACTGCTCTACCTTAGTGACTAATATGTCATGATATGACATCTAAAGAGTCAATAAAAGATATATACAGTACATGTATATTAGAAAAATATTCTGTGTGGATTATAGGAGATTTCAATGGAAATCATAAACTGATAAATGACACTATACTCTACTTTTCTGATGATGCAAAAGCCTTTCAGACTTGTGGATGTTTGGAAAAAAAGTTGAATGTCAAATGAGATTTTAGTTTAGACAGAATAGCACTAGTAAGTTCACATGCACATTAGAGCCTTCCCCATTCTCTTTGTATTCTCTGTGTAAATTTAGGGGCCGGGTCAAAATATTGATGTCCGTCAAAAAACGTAATTAATTATGTTAGGGGAAGAGGGAGTAAAATGCTATTTTAAAGTCTCAGGGTAGATATCAGAGCTTTGAAAATTTGAATTCATTTTTAGAAATAGAGAAAAAATGAAAAAATGATTTGAAAAGCTGACTTTTTTCCTTTTTATGACAACAATTTTTGTTTCAGACAATTTTTCTAATTTTCAAAGCTCTTATCATTTAAAACAATATATTGGGCATATTTTCTGAAAATTTCAAAATATTCTGTCCCGTGACCTTTCAGAAATGCTAGTTTTTAACTTTTTTTCAGTCACAATTTCAGAGTGCTGAAAAAGCTATTTCAGCATGGTAAAGGTCATTTTGACCATGACCATTGTGATCCTGGTCATGTAAATAAGATATGGGAGTAGTAGAACTGATTGAAGGTGAAAGCAGAACTCTGTTATCTTCATTCAAAAAATTCTAAAATCCACATGATTTTTTTAGTGTAAATTTCTGATAATTATCCCGAGATCTTATTTAGGTGAGAGATATCGATCTTCAGTTTCCCAGGGTTTCATCATTTCCAAAAGCGAAAGGTCCAAACAAATCTGTTTGGAAATGTTCTAGGTGATATAACATTTGCATTCATGAACAGCCTATCCAACTGTCCCACAATTTGCGTATTTGTTACTCATTTGCTGAAGGAATTGAATTTTAGCGGAATATACACATTTTTCTGATTATTATCAAACAAAAATATTTCAGGAGAACATCAAAAAAACGAACCCAGAAAAATTGGAAAATAATTGCGTACATGTCACGCATTTGGTTCGGAATTTCTGTTTTTCTCCTCCAAACTCTAATCTAATAATGGCCAAGAAGATTCCGATCACTAAAGAAAGCCTAGTTACGTTGTTGAAGAATATAGTTCGGAGTAGGGATACTAGCGGTTACCGTTGGTTATTTGGTTTCCTGTATAAAAATACCTTCTCTCCTTTTCCGGCCCATCGCAGCGCCATCTAGTGTTTGATAAATGAATCAATGTTTATTCTCGATAGGGTAGGTACTAATCTATCAGGAAATATTTACAAGTTTGGTTAGAAACAGAATTTTTAGAGATGGCGGAGTGATTTCCAAGACTATGTAGAGCAGAATAATTTTCTGAAACAGGTAGCTTTACCGTGGTAGCTCTCTCCAGATTCAGTTATCTCAAAAACGGTGTGGTCACCGTATCATTATTTTGTAACGGCAAGCTAGACAAGACTCCAATGAACACTAGGCACTGTTTCGCTGAGCTAGATCTGTGCCCATGAATATATTATGACATGAAACGTTATAATGGTGCTAAATGGGATTTTTAACTGCAATCTTGACCCGAACTACTAGCCCTATGGAGAGGAGATATTCTATTTTTACCTGCATATGTTGCAAGCTTGCTGAACATCTTCTAGTTAGCAACATGATGCAGTTTCTTGAGACCAATGGGATCCTGTATGACTTGCAACATGGTTTCAGGAGTAAGAGGTCATGTGAAACACAACTTGTCACCTTTTTCCATGACCTTGTACTGGCGAATGACACTAATCACCAGACTGATGTCATAGTGATGGACTTTGCAAAGGCATTTGACAAGGTATCACATCGCCACCTGCTTTACAAACTCCAATACTACGGTATCAGAGGTCAGGCCAACTACTGGATCAAAGACTTCCTGCAAGCAAGAACCCAAAGAGTTAGTGTAGATGGAGTGACATCGGATGAGGCAGCTGTAACATCAGGAGTCCCCCAGGGGACTGTCCTCGGTCCGATCCTCTTCCTCATTTACATTAACGACTTACCTGATGTCCTGCAACATAGTACCTTGAGGCTTTTTGCAGATGACAGCATCATTTACAGACAAGTTGATTCACCACTCGATGCAGCATTACTACAAGAAGACCTTAATGCTGCAGTAGCCTGGGAAAATCAATGGCTGATGCAATTCCACCCAGACAAGTGCACCGTGCTGTCGGCAACTGGAAGACGAACACCTGCTGTCTCCATCTACAACATGCAGGGACATGCCCTTAAACAGGTATCGTCTGCAGAATATCTTGGTGTTACAGTGCAGGCAGACCTTAAGTGGAACCAGCATATTGCTAAATCCATAACCAAGAGTAACCAGCTCCTTGGCATGCTGAGACGTCATTTATGGAAAGCTCCTCAACATACTAAGCAGACTGCATATTTCACCCTGATTAGACCAAGGCTTGAATATGCAGGCTGTGTCTGGGACCCTTACACATCAACCCAAAAACAAGCTCTGGAGATGACCCAGCGAAGAGCAGCACGGTATGTCATGAATGACTTCAACCGTGTTAGCTCTGTCGGTGCTATGCTGTCCAAGCTACAATGGGAGTTGCTGGAGCAGAGAAGACAACAACAACGGCTCACCATGCTCTATAAAATCAACAATAGCCTAGTTGGAATTCCCAAGGACCAATATCTTGAACCCCCCTCCCACAATAGACCCAGACGATTACAAGTAACTAACAGCCAAGCCTTTGTCCGCCACAGATACAACAAAGATGTCACTTTGCAGTCTTTCTTCCCAAATACAATCAGGGAATGGAACTCACTTCCAGAATCAATAGTGACAGCGGGAACATTAGAAGGCTTTAAAACCACGCTGGGTTCTTACTACCAAAACCCCATTCCTTAACTCTTACTGTTGTGTAACTGTTTTTAAACCGATTTTAACTTTACCTTTTACTCTAACACTGTTTTTATCTTTTACTATGCATACTAACCCGCGATGTAGTAATCAGTAAATGATTGAATCGTGTACTATGATGATGATGATGATGATTTTTCAATATGATTTAAATTAAAATTTAAATGAAAAAATTTAAATTTAAATTTTAAATGATTTAAAATTAGATCTATAATGATTTTTAAAATTTTTATTCATAGACTATTTGACAGTGATTTGTAACACTGGACAACTCTTTCGGATATAGCCTAACCTATTTACATACATTATAAAATATAAATTACAGCTCTGCAATGAAGAATGACGACTAAATACACTTACAGGCCACAAACTACGAAATTTTGAAAACAGATTCATGGGCAGCGCCATTTTTGCTTTTTATTGTCATCGGAATTTTGATTGGTTCACTTTCGGGATTTTATCCAATCAAAATAGCTAACACAAATGGGAAAGATCTCATAATATCTCGTGCACCTGTTGCGAGAAGAGACTTGAATTTTACTCCGCCTACATTAGGAAATCAGACTGCTGATTGGTTCTTTTGTAGTCAATATGCCAATCAAGTTGATGTAGTAGAGACGGAGTAAACAGCAACCGTGTGTTGTGCTGCTGAAATTGTTGAACTTTACAAACGATTTTCTATCCAAAATAGATTAGTGTTGGACTAATGAATATTTCCATATTGCAAAATTCATTTCAAAGAAACTGAAGGATGCTAAACGTTCGCTTTAGAATGGATAGAAGGACCATATTTGGAGTGTTAATTATGACCATGCTTGGATTTCAAATTACAAATGGACAAACTTCAACATCAGGCCCTGTTGTTCTCACTATGAATGGTATGTAAAATTAGTAGAAAACATAACTTGTTAGAGATGCATGATAGTATAGATGAATTATCATGGTGGATATAATGCATGTAGCTTGATATTTGGGTAGATTGAAAATCAATTCTTTGTGCTTTTTAGATACTGTTGGAGGCTCAAAAACCTGACCCCCTCAAATTACGGAGTGACTCGAGTTTCATAATTCTGAACTGAGACACTCAGTTTACTATTCCAGAAAGATTTGATTTGTGCTTTAGCATGAGCATGGTCCTAATTTGAATTTTGGGAGAGTGCCCAGTATGACACATAGATCTACTATTTTGTTCCATAGGCCTAATCGATAATATGTTTGAACATGAAGTTGTACTGATAAATTCTGTAAATACTTCCTTTATGAAATCATACACCTTTTTGTTAACATGAACATCATCTGAATGTTGGTTAAAAGTTCATATCTTTTCCCATTTTGCTAATGCCCTTTCATGTAATTGTAGTCACTCCAGCCATACAGTAAATGTAATCAATTTGCAAGATGTATTTTGGCATTTTGATATTTTGACGCTTTTTGCTTTGCTTATAATTAGAAACCCAAATGTCGTCACCATAATTTGTCACAATTTTCCAGACACAACAACAAGTGGGCAGTTAAATAAGAGCTCATCAACCAATGTCACAACAAATGCTATCAATGGTTCTACCACAGAGGCAATCAATTCAACAGTAACAACGTCAGCTACAACCAAACCTCCTACAGTTGCAGATGTTACTAAAGCATCCACAACTGTTAAATCTGTTACCCCTAAGGTCACAACTGTTCAATCAGTTCTTACGTCAAGTATGGTTAATATACCCATTAGTACAGTGAACCCTGTGGTAGAACCCGATTATAATAGCCCATTGTTACTGCGTAAGTGGACCATATCCTGCATGTTATATATTGCACTATAGTTAGCTAGCTGTTGTCAACCAGCTTTGAAGGGACTTCACCATTAATAAGAGTCATGACTTGTGAAGAAATTACATTTAGCTTTAAGTCATGACTTTTAAAGGAGCTACACCTTTGAATGTCTGAACATGTAGAGCATGCATTACATTGTTAATGCTACAGTATCACATATCATTTTGATTCATTAATACTCTTGCATCAACATCTTCATCACAGCCCCAAAAAACACTTTTTGTCACCTATCCTGGCTTTTGAAGGAACAAAATGGGGTATTAAGGGATTTGATGTGAGACAAGATATTGAAAAGGTCTATCTTATTCAATCTATGGTGGTTGCTCTTCTCGCTTAGCTTTTAGTAGGGAAAGGATAGCGGGCACTGTATTGTATACATACGTATATAAGAAACAATATACTGTTTTCTGGTCAAAGAATGTTTCTAGGATCTGTAAACAATTTTCTCCACTAATTACTAACATAAAAGTGTGTGTGTTTGTATTATAAATGTCTAGATAGAATAATTTGTATTATTGTACTAATATTTTATAACCCCTACCACAAAAATTAACAAAACAATACCAACTTTATTGTTTGATAACATACCTACCTTTATAATTATTGTCACATAATTTTATGATTTTGTTTAAAATTACTGTACCACTAAATTAAAGTATAACCAATTCTAAAGCCTTTAGTTAAACTTTCTTAAATGGTAGACCTAACCTTATAAGTTGAATTTTATATTCTAGCATATATGTGTTAAAATCCAAGGACCTACATACAATTTTATATTCTAACATATTTCATATTCTAACATATATGTGTTAAAATCCAAGGACCTACATACATTGTCCTACATGAAACTTTGTATAACTATAACAGAAAGTAAAGATTTATTAGTATGTTAAAATCAGATTCTGTTGTATTCATTCCTTGTGTGTATTTGTTTATGTTATAATATGTTGTTAAATGTGATGTCCAGTTTGATAAATGTGCAGTACAAAATTTGTGGATTTTGCAACTATAATGCAGAATGTTTTCCACTTCCAAATAATATTGAAAATGTACTATCCCATTATTTATCCCCTCATATTCTCATTCTCTATTTTTCCAGAGGAAGCTATGAAAAACACCATGAATGTGACATTTTACGGAATATATATGAGTGAGGTGAGGGTGACATTGTATATCTACCATAAAATGATTTATAATGAATTATTGATGTGTATACATGAACTCTGGTACTGTGGCCATTTATTTCTGGATGAAAGTTGCATGCATTCAGTTCTTTCATCTGACAATTTACATTGTGATCGTATACATATTTGGCAGTTTGATACCAGAGTTTGATCAATCATTGATAGACTTTCTTTTACTTATTCATAACAAACTACATCATTGTATGATGTACCCTATGTCTACTCTGCATGCGTTTAAGCTTTTGCCATTCAAAATCCAATACCACAAAGTGACTATGAAATTCACCAATAGATTCTAATTGATTTCAAATATACTTCACTTGAATAAATTAGAAATGTCACAACCCCCATTTGTGGCATCATGTAAGTGCCATCAGAGAATACATCAATATATTGATTTATGATGACAAAACATTTTTGGTTTACTCCTACCCCTGAAAACATAAGTGACACTAATATAACTATTATAATAATGGAATGTTCGTTAATATTTTTCTCAAATAATATTGTATTTGTAATATTGTTTTAGTGGAATGACAATGGGCTGGAGTGGAAGTTCCGTGCAGGAATTGCGTACCAAACTAATGAATTCTGCGGGGATAACATGGACATTTGTGGTGTCACAATAAGGCCCAACTCAACATACACGTAAGACAATTATTAACATATAGCATACAATGTACCAGGGATGTAGTTTGAATCCTAAACATACAGGAAAAAAGAAAATAGGTGATGATATTCTATTATTTTCATGGGACGGTTTGCAGTTTCAGTCAAAATCCACGACTGAAATGCATCCTTTGGTGACATTTTTGCTTTGTTCATGTATGGCATTAATTAAAGAAAATAATTTTCACCTTCAACTGTATTCAGCTTCATTTTTCTAAAATAATCTTCCAGATGACCTTCCAGGTGCATTAATTATTAGTTGTAACAATCATATTATCTCCATGGCATGTTAGCATTACGGCTGATTAGAATTAATGTCAAAGTGACACAATGGTAATAATGAGTTCACTATTAATATATATTTGAGAGATTGCTGTGTATTGTTCCACATAGAGCATGATATTTACACCTATACAATATCACAATGTCATTGCCTTACTAAACAACTATATCCAACAAGCAAGTAAGAAACAAACTAACAATAAAACTCATTCTTGCTGTACTGGTTCAATTGTCATCAATAACCATGATGGGAGTTTGATAGATCATACACTGCATATGGATTACTTAGGAACTTACATATGTTTCACCATGTATTAATTGAATCAAATCCTCCTAGCCTTACCTAATGTTATATTATTAACAGTTTGTTTGATGTATCACCCTTCAGAATATAATACCTAACAACCATGCAAGAATAACAGAGCTCTTAGGAACAGGAAGTTTGAACACTGCCTGAGCCATTGTTTATTTAAGTTTTGATTTCAAACATTTCCCTGTTGGAATCAATATATCATTATACAGAAGCACATTGTCAATACCCTTTGCTAATTGCTTGAATCACAATATTAATCATGAAGCTGGTGTCGTCGTTTAATCTCTGGAATATGTACGATGCTTAATATATTTTTTAAACTTTTCGAAATAATCTTTATTTCTTGGCATTTATCCATTGTATTTACAACAGTAAGATTTCAAACAAACAAGCTTCGAAAAATAGCTTAAACATCAATCTAATTTGAAATGATTCTGTCAAGTTCTCTATAGTAGGTGTTTATTTTTTTATATTTCCAGTGGCTTTAAAGACAGTGATGTCGTCATTGTTGATGGGTACCCCAAGGCTGATAAGAACACCTTGACTGTCAAGTACTACCTGAAGTTTCCACCTGACGTAACATTGGACTATGTGCCCCCAACTAACTTCATTCTTAATAAGAATGCTATATTCTGTAAGTAGGATTTGAAAAGTAGAATATTCAAGAAGAGAGATATTACAAATAGTAGACACGAGGTTTGGTAAAATCCTGAAAATCTCAACAATGATTGAGATAAGACTTGTTAGAAAATCTCATTGTGATTTCAAAAAGGAGTATTTTGTGGTTTTAATAAAGAAAATGTTATGATCTACTTGATTTGAACGGAACATAAATTTGATGAAAATAACATGTAAATAACACGAAACCTGGATGTACCAATTAATATAATCACATATACAGTCATTCATATTAGCTGGATATTAAAATAATACAGTCAAAGATTTGAATGAAACACAGAAAAATTGTGTCCCAGAAATGCTGTAGGAAAGTATAAGTGTAAACAATACAGTTAATATTTACATCATATAGACAAATCACCTTGCTAGGAATGACACTTCCCCGTAATAATATTTCATATTCCATTCTAGATTCTTCTGATTCTTATGCTGGAAGAGACAGAGTTGAGGAAATGACAGGTTTTGCCATCATTGGGGTCAGCAATAAGAGTTATCTTCCACCTGCCGACCACTTTTGGAATGTCATCTTCATCCCTGTTGCATTCTTCCTTCTCATCATTGTCATAGTAGCAGCCGTTAGTTGTCACCTTTATAGGTAAGTGACAGTGTCATCAGAGAGTCAATAAAAGATACATACAATTGTACTTAATAAATATAACAGAGTTTCCCATAATGTTGCCTCACATGTCTGCCAGTCCTTGGAGTCAACTGAAAATATTATGAATAGGGATCAAAATATGCATTTAAATGATTTGATGTTATTTTGAAGGTATTAATGAAACATTGTTGTGTGTATCTAAAAAATCCCAGTATCTCCCCTTTTGATTATCAGAAAATCTTAGACTCTGGTAATTTATTGATTTGGAGAATAATATGATGAACATATAAAAATAATATCATTTATTTTAGGGTAAGAAAGCAGAAGCAGGGACGAAGGGAGAAAAAGGAAAAGCGAAAGGAGAAGAAAGAATTGAAAACGAAACTGTTGAATACAAATCGACTAAAAGATGACGATGCAGGAAGTGAGAGTAGTCTAACCAGGAAGAACAAGGTCGGCCCAGGTGACACTCAGCTTGAAAATGGAATACACCAGAATGATCACTCCCAACCAAAGTAAGCGATTTGATTAATTGAAGTACAGTAGAACTTGTCTAAACAAAACACTACTGAGACCTGTCTAAAAATGCTTGGATTTGCAGATGTTCACATTTGAGGTTTTTAAACCTGAAAGTCTATGGCAGCTTAAATGTGTTCTGATATACATGTTTTACTGTATTGGTACCATTTCAGGCTCAAGTGTCAAGTCACTCATAAGCAATGTAGAAATTTTCGTTAAAACTAAAAAATAACCACTTAATATTGTACAACATCTTAGTTATTTTTCGTAAAAAGGACTAACTTTTATAGGAAGTTGACAAATCTTATTATGATGGTCAAGTGACAGACTGAAGTCACCCAAGATATGATGATAGCATCATTAATAAGATATTATTCTTCATTCCAGTGGTGATCATCTATTTGTGATAGAGAATGAGCGTCCAATCCCTAAAGCTCTGCCTCCGCAACATTCCACAGCAGGAGAAGCCACACATCACAGTCGGCTTCCCGCGCTACCCCCACCATCAGTCCGAAAAGAAGATAAGAAGGAGAAAAAGAAAAAGAAAAAGAAGAAGCATAAGAAAGACAAACATGGAGCTTTTGAAAACCCATTGTATGGCACTGAAGGTGATAACATGATGAGCACAATGAATACAACACATCAACCAATGAATAGCACGATGAACACAACACAACCAATGAACAGTACAATGGTATCTACTCAACAAATGGACCCAAACCAAAACACTAATGTGACTATGGGCGGCAATAACACAGAACAATCTAATGTGCCACATAAAGAAGTAACAGAGCTTTAAAGAATTGGATATACAACTCCAAAGGTGTGGATGTGATCACTTCAACGAGCAATATCTCATTATATTATTTACACGAAAATAACATTCATATTTAGGTCTGTAGTCATCTCATTTATAAATTGTAAATATTGTAGATATATTAGAAGGTGCTGATTTCTTGTTTACTATTATTATACATGAACCATTTATTTTATTTTTGAATCTGAATATTTTCTTTGAATCTCTATAAAGCAAATGTCTATACTTTCACTTTGACTTAGTTGGAGAGAATGGGGAGGTTAGGTAAGCCAATCAACAATTTCATTAAAATTTTAATGATGTAAAGAACGTGGTATAAAACTATATGCTACTTCACCTTTTGAAAAATTAATTTGGAAAGAACTCCCATTCAATGATACTTCTTTTTTAATACACTCACAACTTTATGACAACATGACACAAAATAGTAAAGCAAAAATTGTTAAAGGTTCAATGCAGAACATTCGTTGGGTATCAAACAGACATAAACATTAAGATGTCCTCCCTGTCTCTGTATCTGTTTCATTTTTTAATATCATTTCAAAATCTTTAGCAAGATCTCAATTATCCATAAGTGCATGTTGCAATATGGGCAGAGTGCCATAGTGTGCTTTTGTTCTGTTTGTTTGTATTTTGTGATTTAATGAACCATGTATTTGAAAAAAGCTTGTGTTTCTGTGAAGCACATTATATATTTAATGTCCTAGAGTAATTATCTTCACATTTATTAGTTATGTTAGTTTGATTTCTCATGTGCTTTGTTCAAACTACATTTGTATGGAAGTATAGGGTATTCAATGGGCAAAGTTGAATATTTGAAGATGTATTGTGAAAGTTTGAGATAATAATATTGATAACAAAACATTTAAGAGCAAAATTAACTTTCTTATTGCACGTCCTGTACTGTTAACTAGTTATTGCATAATAGACAAACTTAAGATCTCATTTCTCTCAGGAAGAGTTGAAAACTATATGACTACATGTACAGGTTGGCCCAAAATGCCAACCTCTAATTGCAAGAAGATACCACCAAAATTATGAATGTTATTCAAAATTAGAGGGTTCCATATTTTGGATCACCCTGTACATGAAAGTTAATTTTCAATTACAATGTTTCTGTTTTAAATCTTTAGATGCCAAATCAAGTTTGTATATAAAAATGTGAATAGGACAGAACTATTGTAACTTTGTAAATAATTATTTTGTAAAAGTATGAACTTATTTGTATAAACATGTGTACAGTAGAAGAAAATGCTAAGTTCCAATGGAGAACTTTAATAGTTATAGTCGTATTACAATCATTTAACAATGTAATTGATCTTTGTTATGATTATATCAAGTCTTCTGTTAGCCTACATTTCTCCACTAGATCTGTCTTATTATTTTTCATTATTTTATTCCGTCCAAAACATGTTAAGTACATGTTTGTAATAAATAAATGTCAATAAGGAATCTCATATGAATTTGTTTTTATTCCTTTTCTTTTGGGTTTATGAGAGTAATCGATCATAAACATTCCCCATGGAAATAAAGATGGCGTTACAGTAGAATGATTGTACAAATCGTGAAACCACATACCCACTTCTCCAAGTGCTACACTAATAGCCTAGAAGTGTCAGGAGACTTGGTGGATGAAGCTATCTTTAAGATAATCAGTAAGATATTTTCCGGTACATTTTATAAAGATACATTAATATTCTACCAAAAACTATAACTTTCCAGCAAACTTAAGTTTTATTTTAAAAACTATTTTTGCCAGTTATTTGCACACCGACCATTTATTCCATTTACATTTATGTGAAATTCATATTATTTTTGATATTTCTAAGTTGTTGAAAGTCCAATTTAATGGACAAGTAAAGTAGACTAAAAACAGTATTCTAGATCACCTTAAAAAGATAAGTTAACAGGTCTGTTAAATACCCGAGCTCCTGATTCCCGACCTTTCACTCAAGCAATTCTGTTTATCCACAGGTTTTAACAAGCGACAATGAATATTTGTTAATCCTGTTTGTGCTTCCAAGACACGTTCAACTTAAGGGTGAATATGTTGCACAAGTTCATTGTCAAACTTGCCATCGGATGGGATTAACTTAAGTATTAACAATCCACCCACAATGCAATTGCTAATAGTAATAATCCTGTAATCCAGTATTAGAATAAAATGTTTTGATCTGACCCAAGTTAATCTACGATTGTGCAAAGATCAGGCCATTTTATAACTTTATCTTAGTGGAAGAACGCATGAAATGGAATAATACAGGTTTCCCACAATAGCAGAGAATTTACAAAAAAATGTAGCAAACGACAATAAAGTAGAGGTGAAAGCCCTTTAGTTAACACTTAATCAAGATGGATGAACTGGAGAAATGTAGATTTTGTAAAACATAATTCGTAACGACGTAATTCACAGAACCGTTTCTACTAACATCAGCAATATGAACGCCACAACAGTGAGTAGCATCAACTCCACCATCATGAGCAACGCGAATGCCACAACCGCCAGTAGCGTCAACACAACTGGCAGTATTGCTGGTGCTGGCGCGGATGATTTTAACTTCATAAGCGCATATGCTGAACCATTCTTCGAGTTCCTAAAGAAGAACCTGCTACCATATCTGATTTTCATCCTCAAGGTTGTCGTCCTCATCGTTTCATCGGCCCTCAACGGAGCCTATCTTCATATGTGCAAGAAGCTGAAGAAATTTTCTGAACCAGTTTGTAAGCTAACCATAAACTTATTAGTAATTGATTTAATAGCTATCAGCGTCGTTGGGATTCCATCTGGTATAGCGTCTGTGGCGTCACTCGAGCAAGGCTTTTTCGGCTTTTGCTACGTCCATGGATATTTTGTGGAAATGATATTTTTGAATAGCTTCACAGGCCTAATGTTACTCAGCATGGAGAGATGTCTAGTGGTTTGTTATCCAAATCATCATACTAAAATATTTGGGAATTCCACAATAGTGCTAGTCATGATTGTTGGCAGTTGGGTTTTCAATGGTGTCGTTGCGTCCATCCCGCTTTGGGGACTTACTGCCCCCATCGCCTACCATCCTTCTCAGTACCAGTGTAACATAGACTTCGTCCAGGACATGATTAACACAATCCTCTACTTGGTGTATGGATACTTCATCCCTATTATATTTGGAATCGTCACCATGTCTATTATTATTCACAAACGACGGTCTCTCATCAGAGAGGCCAGTCCCTCAGAAGGATCTTCCAAAGGCTCCACGCAAAACCTTATTAAAATGGCTGACTTGAAAAATGAGAAAGAAAGACCAAAGAGCTCATCTAAAGATTCAATGGGATCAAAGGAAACTACATTAACTGTTGATGACGTTGAAGCAGAATCCCCGCGTGTTGAACTTGCTACAAAACCATCAGTCATTGAAGAGAAACCTAAGGTAAAGCTTTCAATTGTGATTCTCAATCAACTCTTTTGATTTATATTTTATTATTCATCAAAGCAGTATCATTCTGATACGCATCACATCTTTTTGTTCTCTAGCTTTCAGTTTTATTCTGGAGAATAACTAAGAAGGCCGCGTATAATTTCTCATAATGAATTCGTGAACGATTTATGTGTCTGTTTTAAAATCAGTATTTCCCATATATGGTGGAGCTGCCAGTAAGCAGTGCCGCTGCCAGTCATTTTGTAACAAACAGAAGCAGGATGACCGATAGAACCTCATTAAATATCATACTTTCAGATCTCCAAAATACAAAAAGGGAATAAGCGATGGAAGAAGTTAGCGAGTGAAAGGGAAAAGATATTCACTTTAGGCGAACTGGATGACCAACATAAAGAGTTCCACTTTGCGTTCACAGTCCTCTTGATCTGGGTGTTTGCCCTGCTCACCTGGGCCCCGTTCGTTGGCATTGTCCTTTACAAGGTAAACACATACATTGTGCATTTCTATATCCTTACAACTACTATATCAAACATATTTTGCTCAGACTAGAAAGGCAACATTTCGTCGAGGAAAGCACCATTTAAAAACAACTAAAATAAGCTAAACTAGGTAAATGTGCAGCTGAACTTGATGCAGAATTATATAGTCCTTGCGATTTTTTACCATTTAGCTGTATCAAATATGCAATTAAACTATCACTGACAACTTGTTCAATGAAGCTCAGCTTGATGGTATTCTCTAGTAAGACTATCCTACAAAATAGATCACGGCATAAGGTATATTGCTCCAGGTCTGTCTACATATGTTGAATACCGCCGATTTGTTTTAAGGTTTTTACATCGTCCGTTGAGACATGGTCGGGTTGGTGGACTACAGGTGTATTAATAGTGGACATCTGGTGGGTCATCAAACCACTGGTCTATCTCAGCCACAACAAGCAGATAAAAGAGGAAGTAGAAATGTCACTTCCTAAACAGTGGACAGATAAAGCTAATAAGGTATCTACGTATTTTATAGTAAAAACCTTTGGAAATGGGAACTCTTCTGCAAGCTTGTTAAAGCGTATCTGATGTTTTAATCTTCATTTTGTTCTTTTTTCAATTATAACATTCATTTCAGTTAAGAAAGACATACTTGGTGACTTTTTCTAAATCACCAACAGGTTTAATCGGGGTGGGGGTTCTGGTTGCTATACGTTTGGAGGTGTATACCCACTACCCAGTCCCACTCGGCATGAGATCCAGAATGTATTGAATCCCTAGAGATATCAATAGTAGACCATGAACTTGAAGAAATTTCAAGCACATGATTAACTATACTTAGCTAAGCGTTGTTAATTATTGTTAAAGCAAACTCAATACGTTTGGCAAAATACATTAAATATGTATTAAATGGGCTTCCAATCTTTTTAGGTGAAGAGAAAGGTAGCCAAAACCGTATCAGCGTGGGATAAAGTTTTCCACCAGGCCTTCAGGCGTAAGATAAATTTCTTCAATGTAAGTTTGGCCATCAAGGCGGTGCGCAGATGGAAGCGTTTTGTGAAGAGAAAGAAACAAAGACGATTGATAGAAGAAAGAAGAGAAATGAAGGAGAAAGCCGCGGAGCTCAAGGAGGCAACGGAGAAAGAAAATGTGGAAATACCAGGAGCTGCGAATTATACCGAAGGTCCCATTCAATAAAGCTATCAACTTGTAACTCTAAATGGCATTTAGTACAACTGTGCCCAATACAGACTTCTCTGTATTCTCAAGATAATACTACACAAAAATGATTAGAAAGGATACATATATTATTCAAGATAAATTTCAAAACGTTTGCTTTCATGGATAGTACAACAGTGACACTTGAAAATTATCAGTGTGGCGTAGTCAAGACTAAAAGCTTGGCCCTCCCTCTCCCAAACCTTAGGGAATGGGAATTCATCTATCTAGACAAGACTATTTATTTAGACCTGAACGTCAAATAACGTAATACATAATGTAGGTGAAGCTCTTTTTAAAGAAGCAACAGTATTACAGTATTACAAAGGGTATGAACTACTTTAAAGGGTATCCAAAGCAATAAATACCTTAAAGGGTTTTAAAATGTAGATAAAACGATTGTATGTTGCATGTTGCTTAGACTAATTGTGTTCTTTCTGACTGTTGGTTGTTCAGTTGATTTTCTCAATATATCGTCGATACTGTCCCCATAATTTGTTCTCAAGATATATCAAAGATATTAAAAATTACAATGGGACACCACTGATTATTTGGAAGGACAAACCTTTAAATGATAATAAAGACAATGCAAAACGCTTTACTGAAATAAAACTAAATGTACTCATCAACTCTTTTTCTTACAATTAATTGAAAGAGAAGACCACGATGGCCCAAATCGATAATTTGGAAGTTAGAGAGTAGAAAATCAATAAGTTTATTAAAGTCATTTGCTACAATATGATAGACATCAATTCATCACTGTTCCCCAACTCGTTACTTTGACGGAACGTCAATGTAACAAAATGGATGAACTTCCAGGTTTTTTGTTTTCTCGATTTAAACCTACTTATAAGTCAAGTTGCAGAGTATAATTTGACACAAAGCTAGAAAATATAGTCTAGTTTTAATAGGTTTCTTCGATTTGGAATTTGTTTATTAAATGAAGTTGCAATTAATTTATTTAACCCCTCGCTTTTGTTACATTGTCAAAACTCGGTTATGTTACCAATGGAGGTTACTTTGACGACTAACGTCAATGTAACAAAAGCGACAGTCAAAATTCATGAATTACAGCTTTATTCAATAATCAAATTCCAAACCGAGAGCATTTCTAAAAGCTAGACTATTATTGTCTTACTTTGTGCCAAATGACAATCCAACTCGTATCCAGGAAGTTCATCCATTTTGTAACATTGACGTTCCTTCAAAGTAACGAGTTGGGGAACAGTGATCCATGAACTATATAGCTTGAAAAGGATACAATTCAAAATCAACGAATGGTGAATACAAATACCTATAAACAATATCCAATTCTACAACCGATTGTCACCGCGATTCAATACAATAATTACAAAATGACCATATTAGCCACACACGTTAGCCAATATTCTTTAATATGAAACCATAAGCCAAATCGTCTTTTGAAAATACACGCAGTCAAATTAATCATGATCTTATATGAGATTAGGTGTCCATTGTTGTACAGAGTGATAATTGTGTGGTCTCATTCAGCTGTTCGCAACTGCAAGCTCCAAGATTGTATATAAGGGAAATCACAGGACTCAGCCGAAGTAATATATCGGGTATATCGGGAAGATTAAGAACTGTTGGTTGTTTGGTGTGCGACAATATATTCCACATTCGCTCAAAATGGAGATGAGTCAACATTTACTTCTCAAAGTGACACTGCTTTTCTACTGTGGTTTAGTGACTGTGGTAAGTGAATCATTCGCGTTATTTTTATGAAGCAAAGGTTGCGCCTAAAATATTTAGCATATATAATAAAATATTGTCGGTACTATGTATATCTCAGGTACATTATATCATGAATCAATAATATAAAGACAGATTTATCATTAAAGCTATTCTGTTAAAAATAAATTGTGTGAAAATATTGAAATTTATTGTAAAAACGGCCTGCTCCGCCACATCATCCAAAATAGTCGATGATATCCCGCGAGTTAGATGTTTTGAATTTTACTGTTAGAGTTTTTCACTTGGGAACTTCAACGCCTAAATGGAAGAAGATGAGAAGACTTATCCCCTAAAACAAATATAAAATCAAAATATTAAAGGCTCTAAAGACTCACACGTTTAATCATTATCTATTCTGAGAATTTAATTACTAGATTAGTAGCTACAAGTGTAGTCATAGCCTATATGTATTTTCTCCTCATCCATAACTGTTTTTTCATCTGATATCGCCGAACACAAAAATTGTCTGTTTTATAACATTTTTGTTCACAATAGTCGATGTCATAATTTTGCTTTAAAAATGTTCAAGATGAGTTTATTTCGTGAAAATGCCTACAAGAAGGTTATGAAAAAGCAGGCGTCGCTGTTTTCAATTCTAATGAATTAGGAGGACATCTGCATTTTCAATTTGTTCAATACGTGGAACAATAACCTCGATAGATCAGCAAGCGCGATAAAATCCCAATTTTGATATTTTTGGATGTTGCGGAACACGGAATAAATGGGTTCATAATTCCATATCTTTATCACTGAAATACGCTGATAAGTATAGAGGGTATATTTCTGAAAGCATAAAAATCTGAACAAAATCCGTCAACCAGTATTTGAGTTATCGCCCATGCGCTTGTATCCATAAAATCTAATGAGGGCGACACGAACGCATTTACAAAAAGCTTTCCAGCTTGTCGCCATCATCAGATCTTTTTGGAATTTCACCAAATCTCATTTATACCTTACTTTGCTCGAGCATTTGAAGTCTATATATATCAATACTGTATGTAATTCAATTAAAAATGGGAGTTATGGTATATTTCACAACAAAAAATAAAGTATATACATAAACATACTTGTATTTTGCCAAACAAACAAATTACATCAAGGTCGTCCGAATAATATACTCATTGCATATCTGAGTGGTTAATTTTCTTTGGTAAAAATAATTTTGAAGTTTTGTTGGTGTCTTTATGAAAACTAGCATGCTTCCCGAAGCTGAACAAATCTTTCGATGGGAACCCGTTGTATAAATTGAGGAATTCAAGGTAAAAGCCATTGCAAGTACATTGGCGTAATATAAATTCTTGTAATGCCCTCCAATCATGGGGATCAGAGTCTATAACTGGCCATTTACCAAATATAATGGTATGATTAATTGGAAAATTGCATCATTGAATAGATAGGATTATAGGTAGTAGAACAATGTCCACTTGTTTGTACCAATCAACCAGAAAGGCAATATAAAGTATATTAGGCCGGAGTTTTTCAATCTTTCGTTAAACAGTATGCTTTGGAGGAAGGATAAAGAAATTTACTAGCAATAGGTGACTCCATGCATTAGAGCAGTGATTTGATGACCGTCCATCAGCTTTAGACAATAAAAAGTTCTAGATATAACACTTTTGAAAAATTAGTTTTATACTTTGAATCAATGATACATATCTTGATGGATTTTATAAAAAAAACACCCAGTTAGGGCATTTTTAATGCATTCTGGTGCACGCTGGTACATAATAACTAGACATGTAAATTGAACAAGTTCAATTTAAGACTCCAGATTTCAAACTTTGTTTAAGCTGAGTCATCCAGAACTTGTAAGCTGAGTCATTCAGAATAAGCTGAGTCAGCTAGAATATAGACATTTAGACAACTTTTAAGAAGGCTATCTTCGACTCTATTAGCTTAACATGGGGATATCATCATATCGACTTTTCGAGACTTCAAACCGCTATAACTATCTAACCAGAAGTCAGATCGAAATTTGGTTTAAAGATTCTGATTCCTGAGAAAATTCTACCCTTAATTCATAACTCATACGTTAAATTTGGAGAATTTTTTATTTTGACCTACATTTCGGACACCATATCTCAAAAGTGGGTCAAAAAACTTTCTGACGGCAGAAGGCTAACACTATAAGCACACACTTTGCTACCTGTATACACAATTTTGAAGCAAATCCTTAAAGTGTAATGTCAGAATCGCAAAAATAAGGAAAAACTATGAATTTGACCTAGATTTTGACCAAGGCATTTTTGCGTCCAAATTTTAAAGCTAGATAGTCTTCGAGGTCCCCTCCTTTTATAGGCTTTCAGAATATTAAGCTGTACTCAGTCTATATCTGGTATTTTACACTTCAAAAAATCCCTTTTCTCATTGACATAACATGGGGCACCAAATTTAGCGATTTTTGAGCTTTCAAAACGCCATAACTTTCGAACCGGAAGTCGGATCGAAATTTGGTTTGCAGATTCGGATACCTGACAAAATTCTATCCCTAATTCATAACTCATACGTTAAATTTGGAAATTTTTTATTTTGACCTACTTTTTGGACACGCCATGACTTCCGAACCGGAAGTCGGATCGAAATTTGGTTTGCAGATTCGGATTCCTGAGAAAATTCTACCCTTAATTCATAACTCATACGTTGGATCTGGAGAACTTTTTATTTTGACCTACTTTTCGGACACCATATCTCAAAAGTGGGTCAAAATACTTTCTGACGGCAAAAGGCTAACACTATTAGCACACTCTTTGCTACCTGTATACAAAATTTGGAAGTAAGTTATTCAAGTGTAGTGTCAGAATCGTAAAAATAAGGAAACACTATGAATTTGACCTAGATTTTGACCTAGGCATTTTGGTGTCCAAATTTTGAAACTATGTAGCTTTTGAGGTCCCCTTCTTTTATAAGCATTCATTATGTTAAGCTGTACTCAGTCTATATCCTGTATTTTACACTTCGAAAAAGTCTATTTTCCCATTGACTTAACATAGGCACCAAATTTAGCGATTTTTGAGCTTTCAAAACGCCATAACTTCCGAACCGGAAGTCGGATCGAAATTTGGTTTGCAGATTCGGATTCCTGAGATCATTCTACACTTATTTCATAACTCTCATGTTGAATTTGGAGAGTTTTTTGTTCTGACCTACTTTTCGGACGCAATATCTCAAAATCAGTAAGAGTAATCAAAAAATGATTTGCCCTACGGAATTAGCGTTTTTTCCAAGGAACATGATGAAAAAAACCCGGAGCAAAAATATTGAAAGACGACTGAGAAAAGTGGTGAATTAGTGAAAATCAACGATTTGACCTAGTTCTTGACCTACGACCTAGATAGAAATTTGACCTAATTTCCCAGAAAGCCGGATACAGTCCTTAGTTAACCATGTAAGTTGGATTAAGTAAGCTGTTATAGTTGACGAGAAATTTGGTGAGGAGGAATAATAACTAGACATGTAAATTGAACAAGTTCAATTTAAGACTCCAGATTTAAAACTTTTTTTAAGCTGAGTCATCCAGTACTTGTAAGCTGAGTCATTCAGAATAAGCTGAGTCAGCTAGAATATAGACATTTAGACAACTTTTAAGAAGGCTATCTTCGACTCTATTGGCTTAACATGGGGATATCATCATATCGACTTTTCGAGACTTCAAACCGCTATAACTATCTAACCAGAAGTTAGATTGAAATTTGGTTTAAAGATTCTGATTTCTGAGAAAATTCTACCCTTAATTCATAACTCATACGTTAAATTTGGAGAATTTTTTATTTTGACCTACATTTCGGACACCATATCTCAAAAGTGGGTCAAAAAACTTTCTGACGGCAGAAGGCTAACACTATAAGCACACTCTTTGCTACCTGTATACAAAATTTTGAACCAAATCCTTAATGTGTAATGTCAGAATCGCAAAAATAAGGAAAAACTATGAATTTGACCTAGATCTTGACCAAGGCATTTTTGCGTCCAAATTTTAAAGCTAGATAGCCTTCGAGGTCCCCTCCTTTTATAGGCTTTCAGAATATTAAGCTGTACTCAGTCTATATCTGGTATTTTACACTTCAAAAAATCCTTTTTCTCATTGACATAACATGGGGCACCAAATTTAGCGATTTTTGAGCTTTCAAAACACCATAACTTTCGAACCGGAAGTCGGATCGAAATTTGGTTTGCAGATCCGGATTCCTGACAAAATTCTACCCCTAATTCATAACTCATACGTTAAATTTGGAATTTTTTTATTTTGACCTACTTTTTGGACACGCCATAACTTCCGAACCGGAAGTCGGATTGAAATTTGGTTTGCAGATTCAGATTTCTGAGAAAATTCTACCCTTAATTCATAACTCATACGTTGAATCTGGAGAACTTTTTATTTTGACCTACTTTTCGGACACCATATCTCAAAAGTGGGTCAAAATACTTTCTGACGGCAAAAGGCTAACACTATTAGCACACTCTTTGCTACCTGTATACAAAATTTTGAAGTAAATTATTAAAGTGTAGTGTCAGAATCGTAAAAATAAGGAAAAACTATGAATTTGACCTAGATTTTGACCTAGGCATTTTGGTGTCCAAATTTTGAAGATATGTAGCTTTTGAGGTCCCCTTCTTTTATAAGCATTCATTATGTTAAGCTGTACTCAGTCAATATCCTGTATTTTACACTTCGAAAAAGTCTTTTTTCCCATTGACTTAACATAGGCACCAAATTTAGCGATTTTTGAGCTTTCAAAACGCCATAACTTCCGAACCGGAGGTCCGATCCAAATTTGGTTTGCAGATTCGGATTCCTGAGATCATTCTACACTTATTTCATAACTCACATGTTGAATTTGGAGAGTTTTTTGTTCTGACCTACTTTTCGGACGCAATATCTCAAAATCGGTAAGAGTAATCAAAAAACGATTTGCCATCGGAATTAGCGTTTTTTCCAAGGAACATGATGAAAAAAACCCGGA